TAAGGAAGTGCCAAATCGATTTCCAAAGTGGTTGTACCATTTTACATTCCCACCAACAGTGTATAAGTGTTCCAGTCTCTCCACAACCTCTCCAGCATTTGTTATTTTGTGTTTTCTGGATTAATGCTAGCCTTGTTGGGGTGAGATGATATCTCATTGTAGTTTTGATCTGCATTTCTCTGATGGCTAAAGATCGTGAGCACTTCTTCATGTGTCTGTTAGCTACCTGAATATCTTCTTTGGTGAAGTGCCTGTTCATATCCTTTGCCCATTTGTCTTTTTGCTGTTGAGGTTTTGGAGTATCTTGTAGATTTTAGAGATTAAACGCTGATCGGATTTGTCGTAGCCAAATTTTTTTTTCCCAATCTGTAGGTTGTCTTTTGACTCTTTTGGTGAAGTCTTTGGATGAGCATAAGTGTTTGATTTTTAGGAGCTCCCATTTAGCTAGTCTATTCTGGTGCTTGTGCATTGTTACTTGTGGTTTGTATTGTTTATGCCATGTATTAGGGCTCCTAGCATTGTCCCTATTTTTTCTTCCATGATCTTTACCGTTTTCGATTTCATATTTAAGTCTTTGATCCATTTTGAGTTGGTTTTTGTATATGGTGTGAGATATGGGTCTTGTTTCAGTTTTTTGTATATAGATATCCAATTATGCCAGCAACATTTGTTGAGACTGTCTTTTCCCCAGTTAATGGACTTTGGGCCTTTGTCAAATATTAGCTGCTCATAGGTGGATGAGCTTATATCTGGATTCTCAACTCGGTTCCATTGGTCTATGTATCTGTTATTGTACCAGTACCAGGCTGTCTTGACTACCGTGGCAGTATAATAGGTCCTAAAATCAGGTAGTGTAAGGCCTCCCACTTTGTTCTTCTTGAGTAGTGCTTTATTTATCCGGGGCCCCTTCCCTTTCCATATGAAGTTGGTGATTTGTTTCTCCATCTCAGTAAAAAACGCTGCTGGAATTTGGATCAGGATTGCATTGTATCTGTAGATTGCTTTGGGTAGAATTGACATTTTCACCTTGTTGAGTCTACCTATCTATGAGCAAGGTATATTTTTCCACTTATGCAGGTCTCTTTCAGTTTCTTGCGGTAGTGTCTTGTAGTTTTCTCTGTAAAGATCTTTTACATCTCTGGTTAGATTTATTCCTAAGTATTTTATCTTTTGGGGGGCTATTGTAATTGGTATTGATTTGGTGATTTCCTCTTCGAGGCTCTCTTTGTTGGTGTAAAGGAATCCAATTGATTTTTGTATGTTTATCTTGTATCCTGAAACTTTGCTGAAAT